TATTTTCACTGGAAAAACCAGAAAATTTTTTAGGAGGTTTCATGTGAGTGGTAAGATATAGTTGAATAAAATTTGTAACAAATTGATATTTTATATATGAAAAAAGCTCTCACCTGAAAGTTGCTTGTACAGTAGAAATACAAATAAAAAAAAAAAGAAATGGTTTACTGATCTTTCTCATGGATATTGTTAGAGATTAACTTAGTTTTTTTTTTTTTTAAATTTTTTGAATATGTCAGTGTGATCCAAACATGGTATATAGTATTTAGTTATATTTAGATCAGGTTGCTTGCACTGTTTGAATAGTGATTGTAAGTTCATAGGTCTGTATAACTATTTAAATCCTCCTTTTTTTAAATTTGTAAATTTTATAAAAAAACAATAACAAAGATAATTTTATTTATGTTTTTCTTTGATAATGATAGCAGTTTCTACTATCTTAATTTTAAAAGAAATGAAATATAAAATTTCAATTTTCTTTAAAACTTATCATGTTAATTTAAAGATATCAAGCAAATGCTCATTTAAGTTATGTACTATGCTAAAATTAATTGTTTAGATTAAATGATAATATGTATTATGTACTTAGTTGTTAATGCAATATTACTTTGTTTATTGTTTAAAAGAAAAAATTCTACATTTACATCTTTTATATTTTTCAAATTTTTATTATATATGTTACAGTCAAAACCCGTTTTTAGTTAGAACGCGTTTTAACTAGTTGAAACTAGTTTATACTGAATGTCTTTGTTATAACCCGTTTTGTCTAGTTGAAACTAGTTTATACTGGATGTATTTGTTAAAACCCGTTTTAACTCAATGAATTTCAGTCAAAACTAGTTTTAACTCAAATTCATTTTTGACTACAGTAAATTTTAGTTTTAACTAGACAAAACGAGTTTTGTCTAGTTAATTTGCTGCTGTACATGTTTTGATTTTAGATAAAACTAGTTTTAACTTTTAACATTAGTTAAAACTAATTTTAGCTACNGCACCTGTGCACCCACTAAATCTGTTTCAGTATAAATGATTATACTTGTTTCTGAAGGATGATTGAATTAGAGTTATATAAAATATATAAACTGTCAACTTTCCAGTAAACTTGTTAAAATCATGAAAGGAATTCTAGAAGTAACTCTGTTAAGTTTTATTCTGTTTTGAAGTAGTTTTTAAAGTTACTGAAAAGATATTTATTAGAAAAACTCTTGATTTTACAAAGAATAAATTATAAGTGAGTTGTTACTTATCTAGTTCTTGAACTACCTTAGTTATTTCAGTTTAATGTTAATAAGAAGAGTAAAATATCAATTAAGCTTATGTTTAAAGAAACTAATCATTTTATCAGAAAACCAAAATCAGATAAGATTTTGGTTTTCTTAACAAAGGCAAGTAATCTTTGAAAAGAAAACTAGATCATAAAATTAACAACAGAATAATTCATAGTAAATACTCTGGCTTTTATTCCAACTTGTTTTGGCACTAAATTGTAAATATTTACATGATAGTTTTTATGTTGGAAAGCAAGTACTGTATATTAAAAGCAACTTAAATAATGTTTAAACTATGAATGATTTTTAAAGTCATAAGAAATTATTTTTATTTAAAATATCTATGCGTATTATTTGGCTGTAAATTATGCTAAGCTATAAACTGAAGTAAATGAATATAATTTATTTTTTTTAATTTAATGTCCCTAAATAATGTTATCACTTAAGTAGTTACTTAATTTCTTAGATGTAATTTTTCAAAATGTAAACTTTGATTGGTCTACAATTTTAAAAATTGTAGACTTATAAGTTGTTCATCTATCCATCTGTCTTTCTTTAATCTCGAAAACAAAGTTAGATAGGTGAAAGACGAGACCAGATATGGAAACCTTAGGGGTAGGAGGCCCCGATTAACTATATATGAACTTCCAATGCAAACTAGAAGTCATGTTATTTCAATTCAAAAACTTTTTCCTGAAAGGTGTTAGATAGATGACCAGCATGACTATTGTTAAAGGAAAAGTATGATGTACAGGAGCAAGCCACTGTTAATTTGAGGCAGAGAGCATATATTTAAATTAAAAAAAAATCAAAACTTGCAACTTGGCATTGTGATGATGTCACAATAAATAATTGCTTGTTAATTCTGGTTTATTTTGTTTAATTATCAAAGATGGAAAAAGGCAATTATCATATGAAGTTTCAAACCATCAGCTGTACATAACGAGTTGATTCTTTGGATCTATGTAGAACTGTTTTTGTTCTTGGAAATAATTTTAATTATATTTTATATTTGACTTTAGGAAGTACTTTAGGAAGTCTTTAGGAAGTAGGCTTTTCTTAAACTTTTTTCTAAATTTAAAATCTAATTTGTGGTTGGAAAATAAATCTAGTTTATAGCAGAATAATAACTTTTTTATGATCAATTTATTGAAGTAAACAAGAAACAATAGTAATTGATGTCTTATTTGAAATCTGTTATGGATAAGTTCATTTTACAGTTAACAAGTTAGTTTACTGGAAGGTTATAAATTTATCTGCAAACAGATGGTAGCTGATAGTAATTTAGATAATTTTTATTAACAGAATTATGTGATGCATTCCTCAAAACTATTAGGTGTAATAATTCAGAAATAGAAATATTAATTGAGTATTGTAATTTTAAAAAAATTTGAAGTTTATTTGTTTTAATTCATTACATCTGATAATTTTGAGGAGAAATGTATTATATGATTCTGTTGTAAATTATCTAAATTAGTTACCATCAGTCATATAAATTGTTTGATTGTGAATTGCTATTTATAGAAAAAAAATTATTTATGAGAAAATCCAATTATCTAATCTAAACTACCATTTGCCCTCTTTTCTCTCTTTCCCACTGATATCACACTACATGCTTTTACATCATGTCACTGTATGATCAGCAATGTCTATTTGGTTTGACAGATCCAAATGATCAGTAGGATGCTACTCTCACATTGATGAATAAATAAATACTCTACAGTATATATACAATACTGTGCTATTACCCTATAATTTCATTCTTTATATGTTAATCCACTTATCTGAGTTTTTAATTATCCAAATCACTTGCAGAATGAATAAATTCAGATAATCAGAGTTCTATTGTATATATTTTATTAACTTTTAGACTTGCTTTACAATTTCTCTCATTTTACGGTCCCCTCTTATGACAATGACCATCCAATAAATGATTAAGGTATAAATTTTCTATTAAGACTTATAGCAAACATGTGATGCACCCAGAGGGGGGACCAAGAGGCCCTGGCACCCTCCAAAGAAAAAGGAAAGAAACACTAAAAAATTTAATTTGTAAACTGTTTAATAAAATTATTAAAATGGAATGGATATAACTATGAGTAAAGGTTTCTTCTTTCAATAGAGATTAGTGATCTTTATCATGTCTTTCTTATTAATTATCACAATAAATAGAGACCAAGATTAAAACATTTCACTTTATTTGCCTATTTAACAATGCATTTCAGATTGATAATTAATTAAGAAAGACATGATAAAGATCACTAATCTCATTATTGGAAGAAGAAATCTTTACTAAAAAGTTTTCCAAAAAAATTTTTTTACTAATTAATATTTCCTGTTTTTATTTACATTGTGTTGTACAGTACATTATGTTTATATACTGCTAATGAATTAGCAGTCACATAAGATGGGAATTTTATTGAATTCCCATTAAAAAGTTTTTATTTGTCTAATTTGGCTCACTAAGGTGAAATCCTAAGTGCACCAAATAATATTTTAAGTACCATTTTTTTTGTCATAACCGCCATATAATTCAGATTGCTTTTCAAAGAACATAATTATCTTAAGTTTATTGTCATAAATTGAGATTGTTTTTTTCTTCATAAGTTTTCCTGGAATCATTTAAGTCATAACAGTGGGAGTCTACTACATATATGTGTAAATAAAATTGGTTTCTGTTACTAAACATAATATATCCCATTAATATATAGCCAAATGATCCCCTTAAATACTTGGGCTATAAATCTACTAATCTTGGCTATGTATCTATTTATATATATATACAGTGGGTTAACGAACATAACCCATTCCAAGACTTTGTTTGCTATCTGAATTGTTCGTTAATCGATTATTGATTTACCATAGGTTTCTATGGGAATTTGATTAATTCGTTCTGGAGACCCCAAAAATAAAAAAGTATTAATATATACTTTCTTACTACGTTTATTCATATGTAATAATAAAAATACATATATACACGGTCTTTCATTTTTATTAGTCATGTTTTTTCTGTTTGTGGGGGTTAAAGAATCTGTCCAATGTTGATTGCTTTTCTGTCTTCTTCGTGATTTTTCAGAAGTAATTAGTAGCATTGTAATTGTAGAGATCCCTAGGCCTATTAACTTCAACTTGGTTTGGATGCCATTTTAAGACCGTTGTTCTGACATCCTCCTACTTCTTCAAAAGATCTTTAATAGCAGATATCGGCATAAATCCGCATTTTCAGAAGAAAACGTAAAAGAATTGTTTCTGACAGAAATACAAAAGGCTGGAATTACAAGGGAGAGTTTCAAAGTTCGGGGGACACTATCCGATTAGTATATACTGGGTAGAACGTCGATGTCGATGTCTCCTGTGCTCCGAAAAGTTTTGAATTGTTGCCTGAAGACAAAGGAAGACCAATCGGTATTCGTTATTTTACGTCGCTTCTTGTGTTTGTTCAGTGAAGTGTTCATTGTCCAATCATAAAAATCTTTTGCAAAAGTGTTTGTTATCCGATTTGTTCGTTAACTGATCACCCACTGTATATGTATATATATATATAGGGCTTTGGGTTGTTTAATATACTTACATCCCATTATTGATTGTTGTGCATGTATTTGTTTAAACATGAAATATAATACTTTTTAAGTATTAAATAATAATCTTTTTTAACAAAAATTTTATAATGTAATAATCTATAATACTTTAGAATGACAGAATAGTCAATAGTTTAACAAATGATTTTATTAATTAATAATGTTTCCTTTATTTAGTGTTTGATATCCCACATGCTTGTAACTAAGATTTTACAGCAGTTTGTAGAGTTTTATATCTAACTGATATTTATTACGAAGAAACAATTGAGAAATAATACTCCATGAAGTATTATGGGTGGCACAGAAACAGCCAATTCTGGCCTAACAGGTAAATTAATGTATATTTTTAAATAGTTTTATTGCATATATTAACAATTTTTACTATTAGATAAGAAACAAATAAGCTTTTGAAAAAGTTAAATATTATTCCTTATTAAGTTAATCAGATCTTTCAGACAACAGTCAGCTGAAGTAAAATTGAAAATGATTATTCCACTATGATGTTTACAGTTGTGAGATTTCGATATCTTTTGTGAATTGTAAAATTACAAATATAACATTTTTCTGTTGGTCTAAATTTCTTACCCCTCAGTTAAAGAATGAAAGGTGATCTTTTGTCCCTTTTCCCTTTCCCACGGTCTTGCACCACCTATTCATTTCCACTTTCATTCTGATTTGCGATAAACTAAGTTTAATTAATGAAATAACATAATTTTGTTACTAGACAGAGGGTAATGAGAATGTCACCAAGAAAAGGGGGAGACCAGTCGATATACCCATACACATCCTATTTCTTGTGATTTCTTAACAAATAAAAACCAAACACATATCCCTTCGATTTAACAATTATTACTAAGGTTGTAATCTAAACCCTAACCTTAGTCACAACTGACAATTAATTGTGATAACAGCTGTCAAACAAATGGAATTATGAGGTAAGATGAGTAACAATACTGGATAGAAAGTGTCAATAATTCATCGAAACACCTGATTTCTGACAGCCCGTATCAACAACACCCGGACCCAGTTCGAACTTAGAACACATTTAATCAGAACTCCCCCGACCTTTCTCACACAGGACACATATAAAAAGACAATCGGGGCAATCATCTAAAGGAAATCTCCCACCCGCAAGCTATACTTCGGACCTCTCCTCCACTCCATCACCTAGGATCTATTCCAAACTTGGACACTGTAGCAGTGTAACATAGAGGTACTTGCTTTAAAGTTGATGTAAAATATCTCTTGTGGTTAAGGCTAGTTTGTAATTTAGTTTAGTATTAAGTATAGTGTGATCGATTTTGAGCCACTTGCTTCACTTTTGTTAACCGCAGACAGATTGATGTTGGATACCAAACCAAATAGTATTGTAGGTGTCTGTCACATGTCTTGTTGAATCCTTTTCCGTTTTGTATACAGTAGAGTGTTGTTTATCTGAAAGCCGGTTATCTGAAATGTCAGTTAACTGAAAGCATTCCAGTCGGCAAATTTAAATTTTTGCTAGTGCTGTAGCACTGCAATCTTTGGCTATATCTTGGGCTACTCCAATATTTTTTATTGTTGTTGGTGGTGTGTGTTTTAGCTGGCAGCACTGGCACTTTTGTGTNTGAGCTGAAGCAAAACACACCAGTCACAATGCAAGGTCCTAGAATATAGCACACGATGGGGGAAAAAAAGCCTCGTTCAAATACTGGCGCGTCCTTAAGTACCCTCTCAATGTGTATAAATCAGAACGTTTTTGATACTAGATTAACTTCCGAAATAAAATTGTTTTTGTTTTTATACTTTTCAATATGTTTATTTTGTTTGTGCAGAATAAAAAGAATTTTTAATGATACAATAGCCACGATTATTATTTTAAAAAGTTTACGTTAGGCTTAACATTGACGAAAATTCAACGTGAAGCGACATGCAACATGGAGAAAAATTTCAACATGGGATAGGTTAATATATTTTTTCGCACATAATCGGTTATCTGAAAAATAAGTTATCCAAACAACCCCAGTCCCCAATTGATTTGGATAAATGACGCTCTACTGTACTTTTAATATATTAAATATGTTATGCTTGTGTTAACTGAGTGTCTTCCTTTGTGTATTGCTGACACCTTATCAACGACCTCGCTAGCCCTCCCACTCACCCAAGTTCACACCATCCATTGACCACAGTGAACAGGACTCTCTCTCGTTTCTCATAAGTAGGGTTTGGGCTCATCCTCTCGGTTCTCACACAGTGAAATAAATTCATTCATTAAAAAAAAGAAACATGTAAATCACAAAATAGTTCTAAGACAACACACAAATTTTTCAAACATTTAGGAATGAGATGTAAATTAAAGAATGTCAGAAAAATGTTTGAACAGATTTAACAATTTGTTGTACAGTAATAGTTTGTGAACACTTTTTCAATAATCTGATACAAAATCATGTGGGAGTATTGAAAAAGTGTTTGTGCCTTGTTTAACCTGTATGAAAGAAACCCACTGAGGAGGGAAGTATTGTAATTTCCGAAATGCATCTGGGTAAAATAAAATTGGTTTATATTTTTGGAGTCTGTGGATATGATAATTCCTAGAAAATAACAGTGTTTGAACCAGTTACACATTGAAATTTAATAAAACAGAATAGAAGCAGAAGGATAAATAAGATTTTGTTGTTGGCTGCATTATCATAGCTTATATTTTTATTTTGAAGGCATTCTATATGCTTATACATATGTACTTTATTGTAATAATTATGTAGAAAAATATATCTGTGACTATTCACGATATAAATATAGATACATTTCCAACCCTTGTCAAAACAAGACCTTTTATTCTAACCTACTAACTGTAAAAAGCAAAGATGGAATTTTATATTATTTATTTTTTGAGTTTTTATGAATGCTTGTATGTTTATAACTTAATTTTATTTTATTTCTTAGGCAAATCAAAACCACCCCTACCTCCCAAACCAATAATTGTTCCACATCATGGTGTCCACCGGGCAGGTACACGCAATATTATAGAACATTTACCAAAAACATTAAATGACAAAATGCCAGTTGAGAAATCTGAAGATATAAAAACAAAAGAAACAAATGAAAGCATTATTACTAAATCTAGACTGATGAAAGACAGTACATTTGAAGATAAAAACGCAGAGAGTTCTCTCTCATCTCAAACTAAAGATAAAAGTGGTCAAACTGTAACAAGTGGAACATCAGTTATGTCTTCATCAGTTCTTTCAGAAAGGAGTAATATTAAAAAACCTGCTACAAGAGGCAGATTAAGAAGATCTTCTAGGCAGAGTATAGAAAATGGAGAATCAGGTGATGAAGCTTGCTGCATGAGAATTGGTGGGATGATCCGTAATAAAGCTTTTGATTTGGTGCCACAGACTAAATTACTTTCTTCAGCTAAACCAAAACTAGAAACCAAATCAAAAGTCAGACGGCATAGAGGAAGTCAAGAATTTCAGAAGAGTGGTAGTGTTGGTGATGATCTTTCAATTGATGGTAGTCATGGAGTAAGATTTGTAGATGATGATGAAACTGAATCATCTACTGATTACAGAGACATTGATGAAAACAGTGTATTTTTACTTGAATTTGCATGTCATTCTGATGCACAAACAATATCAAGAGGTGAAAGCTGTATGGACTATTCTGAAAGTGGTTATTATACATCAGATGTAACAACAAAAGATGATGATAACATTCCTGAAGAAGTAATATCCGATAAAGAAAAATTTAAAGAATCTCAAATTGTTGAGACATCTGAAACTAAAAATGTAGATACTTGTTTGACAAAAAATGAAAAAGATGTATTTGATTTTCAAAAAACAAGTGAAAATTCAGAATCTGATGCTTTAAAAATAGTATCCAAAGAAAATGGGACAGATGTGGAAGTTGAAAGTCAAAAAACTGATGTCAGTTTGGATGAAACATCCAAAGAAATGTCTCACTCTGATGCTACAGAAGATGCTATACTTATTGAAGATAAGAAAAAAATTAAAAAAGTGCCTAATCAAATTAAAAAGAGAATAAAATCACCACCACGGCCCCCACCTCATTAATTATTTATATACAGAATTATTATAAAATGCAGCATGGAAGAGAACATCATAAATACTGAGGCTAGACCTCTGAAGATTACACTGAGCCTCTAGTATAATGTCTGTCTGAAAATTTATTTACATGAGTAAAATGAAGATAGAGTAAGTACACAATACTTGAAAACAAGGACCTGTTCACAGCATTCACACGAGAAAATAATATGCAAAAATAACCTGTCTCAAATGTATTTGAACATTTACATTTTTTAAGTTTTATTGCTTCAAACTTCCATAAATTTTGTATCAACTGAATAGATAGATTTAAATTTTGGTGATTAAAGGTTGAGGGAGTGGAGGGATTATGGTGTAATGTGTATCTCCAGTAGGGTTGGACTTCATGATGATTTTATTCCTTATTAGCATTTACAATTTTTTATAAAACTCATCTCTACTCTCATAACTGAGTTTTTTGCCATTTTATAATAGTTAAAAGTATAAAAACTTTTTTAATAATATATGATAACAGACAGCACTACCAAAATTTCAAATGTTGCTGGGGAAAGTTGAGCAACTCATTGCTGGTTTATTTTTTATTGAAGTGCAGCAATTGAAGTGAGCAAGCTTCCTTGATAGCAAGTCAAATTGATAAATTGCTGAAATTGATCAAGTCATTACATTTTGCAAAGTAATGACTTGATCAATTTGAGAGAAATTTTATATTTTAATAGAAGTAATAAAATGGTGTGACATGATAGAAGCTGAATTTTAAAATTCAGTCTAGAGCAGGAGAAATTGGAGGTCAAAGGTCATTCCTATGTTAATTTAATTTGAAAATTTTGCATTGTAAAAATATGAACAAATGACACATGCTACTCAACATTTGAAATAGGGTTTCTCTTGCCAATTTTTTTTTTTGAATGCCAATCTTTTTTCCTATTTTTCTCAAAAAATAACTATATATACTTTAACCTACTTACATTAATGTATTATATTTAGAACAACATTTATTATGTAATTTAAGGAAGTTTTAGAACAAAGGTAAGAATCCACTGATTATGTAGATTGACAGGTCGCATTAATTTAATGCCCCTAAATAATCTAATGTGAGTTTGCAAGTTGTTGTTACACTTCAATCAGGGATGAAGTTTTCCTAGTTTTATTAAATACATAAAGGAACAAGATATTACTTTCCTCTGTGCTAACTCATTTTAAATAATGTTTAATATATTGTTTAAATTTACTGAGCAATATAAGTTAAATATCTTCATATAATAAATTTATCAGCTGATATTCTAATTTTCATAATATTTGAAGTATGGTACATATATCTTTCTAAATATAGAATTAGAATTTCTTTTCGAAAATACAAATATATACATATATAACTAATTTTGTGTACTTACTTGTGATTTTTTATTTTTTAGATCTAGACTGATGAAAGACAGTACATTTGAAGATAAAAACGCAGAGAGTTCTCTCTCATCTCAAACTAAAGATAAAAGTGGTCAAACTGTAACAAGTGGAACATCAGTTATGTCTTCATCAGTTCTTTCAGAAAGGAGTAATATTAAAAAACCTGCTACAAGAGGCAGATTAAGAAGATCTTCTAGGCAGAGTATAGAAAATGGAGAATCAGGTGATGAAGCTTGCTGCATGAGAATTGGTGGGATGATCCGTAATAAAGCTTTTGATTTGGTGCCACAGACTAAATTACTTTCTTCAGCTAAACCAAAACTAGAAACCAAATCAAAAGTCAGACGGCATAGAGGAAGTCAAGAATTTCAGAAGAGTGGTAGTGTTGGTGATGATCTTTCAATTGATGGTAGTCATGGAGTAAGATTTGTAGATGATGATGAAACTGAATCATCTACTGATTACAGAGACATTGATGAAAACAGTGTATTTTTACTTGAATTTGCATGTCATTCTGATGCACAAACAATATCAAGAGGTGAAAGCTGTATGGACTATTCTGAAAGTGGTTATTATACATCAGATGTAACAACAAAAGATGATGATAACATTCCTGAAGAAGTAATATCCGATAAAGAAAAATTTAAAGAATCTCAAATTGTTGAGACATCTGAAACTAAAAATGTAGATACTTGTTTGACAAAAAATGAAAAAGATGTATTTGATTTTCAAAAAACAAGTGAAAATTCAGAATCTGATGCTTTAAAAATAGTATCCAAAGAAAATGGGACAGATGTGGAAGTTGAAAGTCAAAAAACTGATGTCAGTTTGGATGAAACATCCAAAGAAATGTCTCACTCTGATGCTACAGAAGATGCTATACTTATTGAAGATAAGAAAAAAATTAAAAAAGTGCCTAATCAAATTAAAAAGAGAATAAAATCACCACCACGGCCCCCACCACCACCACCACCACCACCACCACCACCACAAAAGTGTGAAGATATATCACAGCAGGTAATTTTAGATCATGAATCAGTTTGTAAAAATGAAATTAAATCTGTTGAAGATGAACAAACTGTTAATTTGAAAGAGAAAGTAAGTGATTCAATACAAAATGAAGATATTGTACTTCCAAAAGAAGTAGAAAGTAAACCTAAAAAAAGAGTTGTTTCTCCTCCCAGACCACCTCCTCCAAAGTTGACTGAAGTAGAAAAACTGGAAGAAGTAACCAAAACTGAAACTAAATCAGAGTATATTAATCCATTTGAAGAAGAAACTAAAACTGAAGATGTAGCTAAACTAGAACTCGATATTATTGAAAATGAGGCTAAACCAGAACTTAATATTATTGAAAATGAAACTAAATTAGAACAAGTAAATATAAAAGAAATTGAATTGAAGTCAGAAACTGTTAATGAAGACAAAAATATAACAGATGCATGTAAGTTAAAACAGCAATCATTTCCAACTAAAAAAATATATACATTTCCAAGAAAATATCCACCTCCAATTCCAGTTAAACCATTTGCTAAAAAAGAACAAAAAGAAAATGATGTAGAGTATGATAAAGAAAACATTGAAAAGTCAGATACTTCTAATAAAGAAAAAGAAGTTTCAAAATTGTCTTCTGTATCACCAAAAACATTTCCCAGAAGTGGAAAACGTAGTCCAATGCGAATCACTCCATTGAAAAAAATAGAATCTGAATCGGCAATGAAGTCTCCTGAAAAATCAATTCTTACTACTGTTGTTAAAAATTCTTATCTTGAAGGACTTCAATCTCTTCCTTCTCAGAAATCTCCAAAATTAAAACGAAATATACCATCTCGGCCACCACCACCATTGCCTCGTATTCAACATGGTGATGCTACAAATTCTCTTGGAGATTCTGAAGAAAATAAAATTATAACTGAAGATAAACAAGAGTTTCCTATTGAAGATGAAATTGTTAGTAGTGCTTTGAAATGCAATACAAATAATGTAAATCTTGATGAATCATTACCAGTTGAACAAGATTTGTCAGAAACCATTGAGAAAACTACAGCTCCTTTAGATAGTGTTGAAAATGATGATGATAAAAAGGTAGCATTAAATTCTGAATGTATTGATCATCAATTAGACGACACACACTGTTTTACTTGGCCAGTTGCAGCAGAAAGAAAAAAGAAAAAATTAAAATCTCCACCAAGGCCTCCGCCTCCATCAGAACTTCATAAAACACCAATTGTTACATCAGAAACAAAGATTAATGAAAAGGTAACTGAAATCTCAACTTTAGATTCACGAGGGAGAAAACGTGTAAAATCTCCACCTAGACCTCCTCTTCCATGTACTCGATTACCTAAAGATGATAAAATTAATGGAATGAAAAATAAAGATCAAACCACAAAATCTCCTCCAAGACCACCATTACCAGATCAAAAAACTTTAAAGAAAACAGATGATTATAGCTCTAAAGAGAGAGTCTCTGGTGAAGAAACTGGTGGAAAACGAGTAGTTTCTCCACCAAGACCACCCCCACCAATATATGAAAAACTCCCTAAACAGAAAACAAAATCAGATGTAATTTCTGATGATGCACAAGAGAAACCTTCAGTTGAAAGTAGAAAATCTGTAGCATCACCTCAAAGACCACCACCACCAATTTATGAAAAGATCATTACAAAGATAGAGGATAAAGATTTATCTGAAAAAATTATATGTGAGCCTCTTGATAAAGTAACAGAAGAAGAAGGAAAAATAGAGAAATTGTCTAGTTTACCTGAAACATCTGTCTCGGAAAATTCAACAACAACAAAAAAACGAGTGACATCACCTCCAAGACCACCACCTCCAATATATGAAAAATTGCATCCCAAAAAAGATGAAGCATTAACACATATTTCTGAAAAAGTATTAGAACAAAAACTAGAGCAGTCTCTAGAATCATCAGTTCCTGTATCACCTACCTCATCTATTGCAATGCATGAATATGAGGAAATAAAATCTCCTCCAATTTTTGATGAACAGCCATCTAAAAATTTGTCTACACTACCACCAAAAGCACCACCCAGAGTTAAAAGAAATAGATCTAGAACAGTAGAGATAGTTAGTTTAACAGAGAAACCACAAAGAAGGAAACGGAGAAGTCATTCTCTCTCTGATTCTGATGTTTCTAAAAAACTAGAAGACAGAGACTTATTAAGTGTATCACCACCCCTCAAGGACATAAAAACTCTGTATACTACTGTTCAGAAGGAACGTGGAAAGATGACATTTCAAGAACCAGATGTTAGTGAAGAAGGAAGAGCATCCCCAAGTTACGACAAAATGAAATTTAGACCATTGCCGCCGCCACCACCACCACCTCGATCTAGGTCGAGATTAAGTACTTCTCATTCTCCAGCAAGTTTAAGGAGAAGTTCTATAACAGATGATACAAAACCAGAAGTTAAGCAACAAGATATTGATTCTGAAATTAGAAAAGAAACAGCTGGAGAAGATACAGAAGATAAATTGGTTAATTGTGATGAGATTGCAAATATTTCAACTTCTTCATATTATACTGTAACAGAACAAGAATCTGATAAAAATGAAGATGTTGACATTTTAGAGAATATTAATACTGTTGAAGGAAGCGGAGAATCAAAATGTGCATTTTTTATAGAAAAATCAAAACCTAAAACTGAAAGAAGAAAATCTCAGAGTCCAATAAGATCTAAATCTTCTAGTCCAACAAAACAAAAATCAGGTACCTCCAGTTGGTATGATGAAAGTGATGTTTCTGGTGATCTTGGAGATGTTGATACATCTGTGAGCTCTCAGAAAGAATCTATGGAAGGAATCAACAACTGTGAAGAAACTAAAGACTCCAGTAATTCTCCCACTAATAAACAAAAACAAGGAAAAACAAAAGCAGAGACTTCAAAAAAGAATAGTAGAAGTTCAAAATTTTATTGTGATATTAATGTAACTACAGCAGGAGAACCACAAGATGAGAAGGAAGTAACAGAAAGTGAGCGTCCAGTTTCTTCAGCTAGTTTTGTTGAAAAATCAATACAGACATCACCAGAAAGAGAACTAAGTTCAGTTAAAGATGAGCATTCAGATGACACAGATGATTTATTAGATCGTGCTCGAACAGTACAAATGGAATTATGTTTAATGTTAGAAAGACGTAAAAGAAGAAAAGCTCAATCAACAGATGACACAAAGAGTTCATGTTCTTATTCTCCTTCACCAAAAGCTCTTCCTAGACATAAAATAAAACCTTTGGTTGATGTATCATCTGATCATTCTCCTCAGCCACAATCTACAGAATTCAGACTTCCTATATCGAGTGCACGATCATCTAATTCTGAATTAAGTTGGCAAGGATCATCATCTGAAGAAAGTGAAGATGAGAAAGCAGACCATTTACCTAGTTTTCTTCAAACAAAGAAACAAAAGAAGGCATTTTTTATTGCAAGAGAAATTATGACATCTGAAGAAGTTTTTCTTAGTTGTTTAAAGTTATTGAATGAAGTAAGTTTCAAAATTTTGAATTGTTTAATAATAGTTAAAAGTAGTAACAATAATGCATTGTAATCAAAACTCAATATTACATTAACAAGATGATTATATTATGTTTTCTTCTCAGTCAGTCATACTATTTATACAATTTTATTTAATGATAAGCAATTACTCTTTTCCAATAACAACTTTATAAAACTAATAAACATATTTACATAAAAAAAAGAAAATTTCTAAATTTGGATATCTTATGTTCAACATCTCTAAAATAACAAACACACTAACCTTATGTTTCTCCCAGCAGGATGGAGATAAAATTAATACAAAACAAATGCTTTTGGTCTGCTTTAGGTTGATGAAATTGCTTTGATATTTGAAGATGGAATGCACTGAAGAAAATATATGTATAAATTTAAATTCAAATTTTAACCAATGGGGTGTTGATGTACTAAGTCTTCTATAACAAACAATGTGTCTTATAAGTCTTATATGCCATATATGGGAAATTTGTTTTTCTTCTTTAAAGTTGATACATCTTTCCTGCTTTTCTGCTTTAAAGATTTCTAGCACTTCCAAAATCTTGAATTCTGTTTTGTTTGTTTTTATAATTGAAATTCTACTGCCATGAAACTTACTCAGAATTTCATCAATGCGNTTATCTTAATCTTCACTATCGTTACTTTTTGCCCACAAATAAAAACCCAGCGAAGCGGGTCCTTGCAGCTAGATTCTAGATTACTTAGAAAAACAGTCTTTTATATATAAAAAAACAAAAACTATATTACGTACAAATGTACGAACAAATAAAAACTCAGCGAAGCGGGTCCTTGCGGCTAGTAGTGTAATAAAACTATTGCATATGTATAATATTAAATTTAACAACAAAGTATTAAAATATTTTGTTAAATTGCATGATCCACCAAGTGGGTTGTCTCCCACGATGACTTTCTAGGGGAAGAGGTCCTATTTAGATGTTAAACATGTGAAGAAAATTCAAAAAACTTCACATAGCCAGTTTGTTGGTGAGGTACAAATCCACATTCAACTACCAGTTCAGAGATACTCACTCTATTATTAAATTGTTTTTGTTCAGTATCAATAGTTAATGATCACTTCCCAGGCATTGTTGTTGTAACAGAATTAATATTTAACTTAAAAATATTTACAAATTTTTGATGTTTGGTTTAAAAAGAAATTAAGTGCTTTTACATTGAAGAACATTTATGAACTTCTGAAATGAACCATTTAATTGAAAATTATGTTGAGAACTTCATGAATTTTTTAAATTTTACATGTTAAATGTATATTTCTTAGGGTTATAAATTATTTAATTAATAAAAAAGCACCCCTACTGACATTAATAGTAAATTTTAAAGTTCATAAGCACACATTATAGTGAAAGGACACTATAGGAGTAATTGACATGGCAGTATTGCTTCTAGCAGAAAGCAAGAGAAGTAAATGTTATTGTTTTTGTAAAAAAATATTTTTGAGGGCATATTAGTAAAAAGATATGGTTATGGCAGAATCCTAAATCTTATGCTTTGTAAAAATGTACCAGTATAAATTGTAAAGATCTGTACAGTACTATAGTTTTTTAGATCCAAGGAGTGTTTACTGTGTATATATACTTTATATATACAATTATATATTTATTGAAAGGATTTGATGATAAACTAATAAAAGTTGAACATCTATTACTTTATCTAATTTATTTTGATTTTCTTTACATCATATTTTAACAAATTTCATTTATGTAAGGGTATAATTGGGTTAAATTTATTTTTTAAAAATGAATGTTTCTTATGTAATAATATGAAAATTTTTAACACTTATGTGAATAACAAAACATAATTATTCATTTTCAATTTTCTCCTATCTAAATTGAAAATGAAATTATTATTATTAAAATGTTCTTGTTTATTCTACCTAGTAATTAAAATTATAGATGATATTGAATATGTTTCAAAACTTAAAAAATTATTTAATTTTTTTATAATTACATGCATCAATTTTTTATATTTATATAATTCTTACAAAATCAATAGAGAATGAATATAACTTTTAATACATTAATCTGTAATTTAAGGACTTATATTGTTCAGCTGCTTATTATTTGTACTATCTTAATCTTTGATAACAGTTTTTAAATTTATTTACTGATAATTCAATTAACATAAATCATATGAAGAGAGATCAAAGTCTTAAATACACTCTTTTAATCAGAGTATTGCACATTAGATTACAAATTTGAACTTAAATTATTAAACTAAGGCAATATTTTGATAAAATTTCTTATATTATTCTTTCAATTAAGAATATATTTTTATTTATGATGATATGAAATTATAATTTTTAAAGCAGATATGATTTTATATACTGAATGTTGTTAAATCAAAGATTTGTTAAGGTTAATATAAAAGTGAGATTATTCTAATAAAAATTTAAAAAATTATTATTTGTTATAATAGTTATAACAAATAAATAATCCAGATGATTTTAATTTAAAAGGAAATAGAGAAATTTTAGAAATAAACAATGATGATGATTTTACAAGTTGTTTTTTGAAAAACAGTAAATATTATTTATTTATAAACATAGTTACATAGAAACATAACCAAACAATTGCCTTAAATAATTTGGTTATAACTCCACTAATTTAATGATTAATACTAAGTAATAGTATTATTCATTAACCTCTAGTAGCAAATTATTTAGTATTAATCATTAAACTAGTGGAGTTATAGCTCAATTATTTAAGACAATTGTTTGGTTATGTTTCTATATACATATTGGCTTTGTGATGTTTGATAAACATAGTTAATTTGATAAATATGTACAGTACTTCAGTTCTGTACAAGTTTTATCTTGCTTTTATATTATTGAAATCAAAACCGAAATTTCTTTAGCTTCTGTTTAAGTTTGATAAGAACAAAACAGTAATATGATGCTTGGTTGTTTCATTCTCTTATCAATAATGCCATCAAATGATTACTTTTCAAATGTAATTGTTAGAAAACTCAACAAAATTACTTCAATGACTAATAATTTATTACAGGTTAAATTTATAAACATCTTTCATCTTTACTTATTTTACATATACAAGTAGATAAATAAAATTGACTAATGTCAGCAAATGGAGTAGTATAATTAGTAATCTGGCTGAAGGGAAACATAATATTATTTCTTTTAAATTACTAAATATTATTCTTAATATTTATAAATTATAACTAAAAATTTAAAAGTATTTAATTAAATATAATTCAAATATTGTTAATTAGAAGTTTTTATTCAACTTTTACCTTTGCTAAATTAATTAATAAAATATACAAGTTAGATAATTGGAATGCTATGTTTTATTATTAGTAATTCTGTAAACTTTCAGGGAAACATTATTTTAAAGTAATAATAATAATAAAAAATTTTGTGTAAAGTGTGAGAAATATTCTAAAAGAATATTGGATATTTGCCAGTGTGATCCAAACATGGTATATAGTATTTAGTTATATTTAGATCAGGTTGCTTGCACTGTTTGAATAGTGATTGTAAGTTCATAGGTCTGTATAACTATTTAAATCCTCCTTTTTTTAAATTTGTAAATTTTATAAAAAAACAATAACAAAGATAATTTTATTTATGTTTTTCTTTGATAATGATAGCAGTTTCTACTATCTATTTTTTAAATTTTACATGTTAAATGTATATTTCTTAGGGTTATAAATTATTTAATTAATAAAAAAGCACCCCTACTGACATTAATAGTAAATTTTAAAGTTCATAAGCACACATTATAGTGAAAGGACACTATAGGAGTAATTGACATGGCAGTATTGCTTCTAGCAGAAAGCAAGAGAAGTAAATGTTATTGTTTTTGTAAAAAAATATTTTTGAGGGCATATTAGTAAAAAGATATGGTTATGGCAGAATCCTAAATCTTATGCTTTGTAAAAATGTACCAGTATAAATTGTAAAGATCTGTACAGTACTATAGTTTTTTAGATCCAAGGAGTGTTTACTGTGTATATATACTTTATATATACAATTATATATTTATTGAAAGGATTTGATGATAAACTAATAAAAGTTGAACATCTATTACTTTATCTAATTTATTTTGATTTTCTTTACATCATATTTTAACAAATTTCATTTATGTAAGGGTATAATTGGGTTAAATTTATTTTTTAAAAATGAATGTTTCTTATGTAATAATATGAAAATTTTTAACACTTATGTGAATAACAAAACATAATTATTCATTTTCAATTTTCTCCTATCTAAATTGAAAATGAAATTATTATTATTAAAATGTTCTTGTTTATTCTACCTAGTAATTAAAATTATAGATGATATTGAATATGTTTCAAAACTTAAAAAATTATTTAATTTTTTTATAATTACATGCATCAATTTTTTATATTTATATAATTCTTACAAAATCAATAGAGAATGAATATAACTTTTAATACATTAATCTGTAATTTAAGGACTTATATTGTTCAGCTGCTTATTATTTGTACTATCTTAATCTTTGATAACAGTTTTTAAATTTATTTACTGATAATTCAATTAACATAAATCATATGAAGAGAGATCAAAGTCTTAAATACACTCTTTTAATCAGAGTATTGCACATTAGATTACAAATTTGAACTTAAATTATTAAACTAAGGCAATATTTTGATAAAATTTCTTATATTATTCTTTCAATTAAGAATATATTTTTATTTATGATGATATGAAATTATAATTTTTAAAGCAGATATGATTTTATATACTGAATGTTGTTAAATCAAAGATTTGTTAAGGTTAATATAAAAGTGAGATTATTCTAATAAAAATTTAAAAAATTATTATTTGTTATAATAGTTATAACAAATAAATAATCCAGATGATTTTAATTTAAAAGGAAATAGAGAAATTTTAGAAATAAACAATGATGATGATTTTACAAGTTGTTTTTTGAAAAACAGTAAATATTATTTATTTATAAACATAGTTACATAGAAACATAACCAAACAATTGCCTTAAATAATTTGGTTATAACTCCACTAATTTAATGATTAATACTAAGTAATAGTATTATTCATTAACCTCTAGTAGCAAATTATTTAGTATTAATCATTAAACTAGTGGAGTTATAGCTCAATTATTTAAGACAATTGTTTGGTTATGTTTCTATATACATATTGGCTTTGTGATGTTTGATAAACATAGTTAATTTGATAAATATGTACAGTACTTCAGTTCTGTACAAGTTTTATCTTGCTTTTATATTATTGAAATCAAAACCGAAATTTCTTTAGCTTCTGTTTAAGTTTGATAAGAACAAAACAGTAATATGATGCTTGGTTGTTTCATTCTCTTATCAATAATGCCATCAAATGATTACTTTTCAAATGTAATTGTTAGAAAACTCAACAAAATTACTTCAATGACTAATAATTTATTACAGGTTAAATTTATAAACATCTTTCATCTTTACTTATTTTACATATACAAGTAGATAAATAAAATTGACTAATGTCAGCAAATGGAGTAGTATAATTAGTAATCTGGCTGAAGGGAAACATAATATTATTTCTTTTAAATTACTAAATATTATTCTTAATATTTATAAATTATAACTAAAAATTTAAAAGTATTTAATTAAATATAATTCAAATATTGTTAATTAGAAGTTTTTATTCAACTTTTACCTTTGCTAAATTAATTAATAAAATATACAAGTTAGATAATTGGAATGCTATGTTTTATTATTAGTAATTCTGTAAACTTTCAGGGAAACATTATTTTAAAGTAATAATAATAATAAAAAATTTTGTGTAAAGTGTGAGAAATATTCTAAAAGAATATTGGATATTTGCCAGTGTGATCCAAACATGGTATATAGTATTTAGTTATATTTAGATCAGGTTGCTTGCACTGTTTGAATAGTGATTGTAAGTTCATAGGTCTGTATAACTATTTAAATCCTCCTTTTTTTAAATTTGTAAATTTTATAAAAAAACAATAACAAAGATAATTTTATTTATGTTTTTCTTTGATAATGATAGCAGTTTCTACTATCTTAATTTTAAAAGAAATGAAATATAAAATTTCAATTTTCTTTAAAACTTATCATGTTAATTTAAAGATATCAAGCAAATGCTCATTTAAGTTATGTACTATGCTAAAATTAATTGTTTAGATTAAATGATAATATGTATTATGTACTTAGTTGTTAATGCAATATTACTTTGTTTATTGTTTAAAAGAAAAAATTCTACATTTACATCTTTTATATTTTTCAAATTTTTATTATATATGTTACAGTCAAAACCCGTTTTTAGTTAGAACGCGTTTTAACTAGTTGAAACTAGTTTATACTGAATGTCTTTGTTATAACCCGTTTTGTCTAGTTGAAACTAGTTTATACTGGATGTATTTGTTAAAACCCGTTTTAACTCAATGAATTTCAGTCAAAACTAGTTTTAACTCAAATTCATTTTTGACTACAGTAAATTTTAGTTTTAACTAGACAAAACGAGTTTTGTCTAGTTAATTTGCTGCTGTACATGTTTTGATTTTAGATAAAACTAGTTTTAACTTTTAACATTAGTTAAAACTAATTTTAGCTACATAAATATGTTTGGGNTCTCCTCCAAGACCACCATTACCAGATCAAAAAACTTTAAAGAAAACAGATGATTATAGCTCTAAAGAGAGAGTCTCTGGTGAAGAAACTGGTGGAAAACGAGTAGTTTCTCCACCAAGACCACCCCCACCAATATATGAAAAACTCCCTAAACAGAAAACAAAATCAGATGTAATTTCTGATGATGCACAAGAGAAACCTTCAGTTGAAAGTAGAAAATCTGTAGCATCACCTCAAAGACCACCACCACCAATTTATGAAAAGATCATTACAAAGATAGAGGATAAAGATTCATCTGATAAAAATATACCTGAGCCTCTTGATAAAGTAACAGAAGAAGAAGGAAAAATAGAGAAATTGTCTAGTTTACCTGAAACATCTGTCTCGGAAAATTCAACAACAACAAAAAAACGAGTGACATCACCTCCAAGACCACCACCTCCAATATATGAAAAATTGCATCCCAAAAAAGATGAAGCATTAACACACATTTCTGAAAAAGTATTAGAACAAAAACTAGAGCAGTCTCTAGAATCATCAGTTCCTGTATCACCTACCTCATCTATTGCAATGCATGAATATGAGGAAATAAAATCTCCTCCAATTTTTGATGAACAGCCATCTAAAAATTTGTCTACACTACCGCCAAAAGCACCACCCAGAGTTAAAAGAAATAGATCTAGAACAGTAGAGATAGTTAGTTTAACAGAGAAACCACAAAGAAGGAAACGGAGAAGTCATTCTCTCTCTGATTCTGATGTTTCTAAAAAACTAGAAGACAGAGACTTATTAAGTGTATCACCACCCCTCAAGGACATAAAAACTCTGTATACTACTGTTCAGAAGGAACGTGGAAAGATGACATTTCAAGAACCAGATGTTAGTGAAGAAGGAAGAGCATCCCCAAGTTACGACAAAATGAAATTTAGACCATTGCCGCCACCACCACCACCACCTCGATCTAGGTCGAGATTAAGTACTTCTCATTCTCCAGCAAGTTTAAGGAGAAGTTCTATAACAGATGATACAAAACCAGAAGTTAAGCAACAAGATATTGATTCTGAAATTAGAAAAGAAACAGCTGGAGAAGATACAGAAGATAAATTGGTTAATTGTGATGAGATTGCAAATATTTCAACTTCTTCATATTATACTGTAACAGAACAAGAATCTGATAAAAATGAAGATGTTGACATTTTAGAGAATATTAATACTGTTGAAGGAAGCGGAGAATCAAAATGTGCATTTTTTATAGAAAAATCAAAACCTAAAACTGAAAGAAGAAAATCTCAGAGTCCAATAAGATCTAAATCTTCTAGTCCAACAAAACAAAAATCAGGTACCTCCAGTTGGTATGATGAAAGTGATGTTTCTGGTGATCTTGGAGATGTTGATACATCTGTGAGCTCTCAGAAAGAATCTATGGAAGGAATCAACAACTGTGAAGAAACTAAAGACTCCAGTAATTCTCCCACTAATAAACAAAAACAAGGAAAAACAAAAGCAGAGACTTCAAAAAAGAATAGTAGAAGTTCAAAATTTTATTGTGATATTAATGTAACTACAGCAGGAGAACCACAAGATGAGAAGGAAGTAACAGAAAGTGAGCGTCCAGTTTCTTCAGCTAGTTTTGTTGAAAAATCAATACAGACATCACCAGAAAGAGAACTAAGTTCAGTTAAAGATGAGCATTCAGATGACACAGATGATTTATTAGATCGTGCTCGAACAGTACAAATGGAATTATGTTTAATGTTAGAAAGACGTAAAAGAAGAAAAGCTCAATCAACAGATGACACAAAGAGTTCATGTTCTTATTCTCCTTCACCAAAAGCTCTTCCTAGACATAAAATAAAACCTTTAGTTGATGCATCATCTGATCATTCTCCTCAGCCACAATCTACAGAATTCAGACTTCCTATATCGAGTGCACGATCATCTAATTCTGAATTAAGTTGGCAAGGATCATCATCTGAAGAAAGTGAAGATGAGAAAGCAGACCATTTACCTAGTTTTCTTCAAACAAAGAAACAAAAGAAGGCATTTTTTATTGCAAGAGAAATTATGACATCTGAAGAAGTTTTTCTTAGTTGTTTAAAGTTATTGAATGAAGTAAGTTTCAAAATTTTGAATTGTTTAATAATAGTTAAAAGTAGTAACAATAATGCATTGTAATCAAAACTCAATATTACATTAACAAGATGATTATATTATGTTTTCTTCTCAGTCAGTCATACTATTTATACAATTTTATTTAATGATAAGCAATTACTCTTTTCCAATAACAACTTTATAAAACTAATAAACATATTTACATAAAAAAAAGAAAATTTCTAAATTTGGACATCTTATGTTCAACATCTCTAAAATAACAAACACACTAACCTTATGTTTCTCCCAGCAGGATGGAGATAAAATTAATACAAAACAAATGCTTTTGGTCTGCTTTAGGTTGATGAAATTGCTTTGATATTTGAAGATGGAATGCACTGAAGAAAATATATGTATAAATTTAAATTCAAATTTTAACCAATGGGGTGTTGATGTACTAAGTCTTCTATAACAAACAATGTGTCTTATAAGTCTTATATGCCATATATGGGAAATTTGTTTTTCTTCTTTAAAGTTGATACATCTTTCCTGCTTTTCTGCTTTAAAGATTTCTAGCACTTCCAAAATCTTGAATTCTGTTTTGTTTGTTTTTATAATTGAAATTCTACTGCCATGAAACTTACTCAGAATTTCATCAACGCGGGCTAGAGGGAAATTATCAAGTCCTTGGATCTCAACAGGGACATTAGCGAGACAATTAATGGGTAAGACTTGATTCCTACCTGGGTTGTGCAGTTTAATATTCATCGATTTCCTCAGACCGTCCACTATTTCAGGGATGCTATTAATAACACCCATCCCCAAGATATCCTCATACTCAACATGATCAGGGAAGGACATACATGCAATGCTAGTGGTATGTGCGTGATTGCAATAAATTATCGTAACTTGCAGAATTTGTTCACATTCAGTTACTATTCCATTAATTCCCCGGATGCCCATTTTATCCTCTTCTACGATGGCTTTTCGGACATAGGCACTTGGTATCCGTCTTAAAGTTAGTGAATTTAATAGAGACTTTTCTGCCACAGTATCTGTGAGGAATGTCATATCTAGATTGTTTATTGTACTCTTAATGAGGGTAAGACCCTTATTTGATTGGAAGACTTGCATGGCCAGCTTTATCTTAACACTAGGCGTGAAATACTGGCTATTATTATGTTCCTTTACAAGTTTAAATTAGACTTGCCTCGTTTTGGGCAACCACGAGCAAAATGACCACTATTACCGCATATAAAGCATTTCTTGTTTGTGATTCTATTTTCCCTATCCTGATTATCTATGAGTTTACCAACTGCCTCCATAAGGGCTTCGATCTCTCTCTCCAATCTCTCAATCTTGTCCCTGCAGTCAACCCTGGGGACTGGAGTGTTATTGTGCTCACTATCAAATGGTCTAAGATTCTCTTTTATTGCTATATTAATTTTTCTTTGCTTGTTTTGGCCACTACACTCTATCTCAATACTTTCCTCAATTTCTTCAAGCTCAAATGCTTCCTCCAGAGATTTTGGAGATCACCTCAATATGTTATTTTTTATCTTTCCACTTAATCCTTTTATAAAGCTTTCCAATATTATATCATCATGCAAGGCTTCGATTTTACTATGATCTTTTACTGCTCTGGATAATAGAATTCTAGTACGTATCATGAAATCCGTCATGGATTCATTGACCCCTTGCCTTAAATTTAGAAGTTGATAGATAATATTCTTGTCCTTGGCTCTTCTCTTATGGAAACATTTAACCAACTCCTGCTTTATATCCTAATAAGATGATGGGTACTGTTCTAAAAGACAAAAAAAAAAAAGTAGCCAAAGGTTCCCTTTTTAACCTGGTTTGGAAGACCACTATTTTTACCACATTATTCCAGCCTGCTAGATTGGAAATGTTCTCCACAGTTTGAAAAAACTGTCTCATGTTAACAGAGTCACCCTGTGAATAAGAAAACATGGGGATCATTCCCAGAAATCCCATTACTACAAAGGTAGGGTTACTATTGGCCCCGTCATTATGTATGGTACTTTTGACTTGACTATTTGTCGCCATACCAAATTTTTTTTTTTTTGATTAAACTTAAGAATCAAAACAAAACTGTAATGATGCACAAAAAAAAAAGAGGATTCTGCCGATACAGGACCAATGAGGAGCTGTTATAGTCGGAATCCTGTTGCGGATGCCAAATGTAAGATATGCACGTGGTGAATGTAATCCAACTAGAGGATAAGCATATAACACACATATATGTTCTTCCTTCACCCGTGTTTATTTACAGGATTCTTTTATACATTCTAACACTCCTCGTTTTTGTTCTTTTACATACAATTTGGCAGATACTCGGACAGAATCGTTAAGTATAATCTCACAACAAAATTATTCACCGCGGTACAAAAAAGGAACTATAACTAAATACTTAAAACTACTTATACAAAAAAAAAGGAGGAAGAAAAGATAGACAATAGAATAGCTGGATATATGATGATAGAATGGATACCCAAAGTGTTGACAATCTTGAAGTGATGATGGTGATTGCTGAATTATTAAATCTCACAGAAATTGTTGATTGTAGAACTATCAGGTTCTCTCAATAAGCTTCCGAAGATCCTTATATCAAGATATATTTCGGGCTCCTCTCGAAAGCTAGCTTAGGCTTATCGTCTCCTTTGTTCTCCAGTTGATGCCAGAACAACCTGGAGGTCCTCACAACACGTCCTATCTCTCCAACGTCTAAGCCAAAAAGTAAAAGCCTTATTCTACTCTTAGTCCTCAGGCTACCCCTTTTCCTTTGTCTTGAAATTAGGTCACCACCACCTGAACAGGGAAGGGTTAGGAAAGAAGTTTCTAGAAGGTGATAGATAAAAGAACTAACAAAGAGGATGAAAACAAAATAAATACAGTACTAAGAATAATATATACAATATACAAAATAAGGCATATGACCACAATACATTTTTTAAAGTTATCTTTTGGTTGAACCTATGTATATTAGGTCCTTTTGGAATCTTTTGTCTCTAATTGGTATTTTATAAATCCCAGAGGCTCTTTGGTAGTTAACACATTTTGGTCTGATCTTTTTGCCACACTTCTGTGTGCTGACTTTTTACCATATTTATACAATTGTGCTGTTTGAAAATGAGTAACTTCATGGTTTTCATTATTAAAGTGTGTTAAAGATTGTTCTTTTCTGTTTAATCTTATATATATTATGTAAGGATCCATTGATATAGTTTTGATTTTAGATGGTATGCCTCTGATTGCATAATATAAAATTCAAAATTTTAATGAAATGCCTAAAGTAACAGTTTTATCCTTAAATGTAAATTGACCTATCAAATCTTGGCACTTTAAAGTTGTTACAGTAGAGCGTTGATTATCCGAATCAATTGGGGACAGATTGTTCGGATAACCGATTATGTACAAAAAAATACATTATTAATAAAGTATATTAGTATATCCCAATAATAGTATATTAATATATCCCATGTTTAAATTTTTCTCCATTGTGTGTTGCTTTGTGTTGAATTTTCATTGATGTTAAGCCTAACAAAAATTTTTATAATAATAATCATGGCTATTGTACCATTAAAATTATTTCTGTATTTTGTACAAACAAAATAAATATATTGAAAAATATAAAAACAGAAAAAAATATTATACTTTAGAAGTTAATCTAGTATCAAAAATGTTCGATTTGGCACAACACAGTCTGACTGGAACACTTTCAGTTAGCTGACGTTTTGGTTGATTGGCATTTGGATAATTGACGCTCTACTGTATTTAAAAATTTTTTTAAATATAACAATTTTATAATGGACTAGTACAGTACATACACACACAATTTGTCAATTTATTGCATTATTGGCCAGTTAAATTCATGAATTTAGCTTTATATATATCCTTATTTAGAACTAAGCATTCATACTGTATAAATTTCAATGTAAAGTGTGACTCACATGTTGACATTTTTATAACTGGTTGTGATCAGTTAATCTTATTGATCATTTCATTCTGAGATGGAAAGAATATAACTCTGATAGAAATGATGAACAAGAGAAAGCTAAAGATTTTGCTGATGGTAGAAAAGATATTTGTCACAAAGACCATAAAGGAAAACAAAAAGAAAAAAATCAGAAATTACAAAAGAATTTTGACATTCTATTGAATACTCTTTCTATGTATCTGAAAAACAGAGGATATTTTGGAAAGATGTAATGAACAAAGTCAGACAATAGAAAACAAAGCATAAATGTTCTGGATATTGAGAAGTTCAAGAATATTACTGTCAATGGAAAATTTCAAGTAAAAGCTTAATAATATGAATAACAGCTAGAATATATAGAATTCAAAGCAAGCAGAGGATGGCTAGATAAATTTAAGAGGCATGGAATAGTTTTCAGTAAGGGGCCGTCCATAAATTACGTAAGGGCAATTTCAAGCATTCTAGACCCCCACCCACCCCTGTGTAAGAAACTGTAATATTTTCTTTGATCCCCCTTTCCTATCTTACGTAATATTTTGGCATAATTTTATAGAAAGATTTTAACCAAAAAAAATTTTTTTATGAAACCCTAAAAACCTTAGGTCCAAAATATATAATTATTAATTAGTTAATTAATGTGTACTATTATTTATAAAAGACTTTGTGAACAAATTTAAAAATGTAAAAATTTAATGAATTTGAATGAACAATTTATTTTAAGAACTTTATTTTTTAATTATCAACAATCTTTTCATTATTATTAATCAACGTCATAATATTCACTTTTATATTAATTTTAATTTTCACAAAAGACGCAAAAACTTCGCCAGATCAACTAGCTAGTGCACGTGTAAACAGAAACGTCATACAAAATAAAACAAGAGAGAATAGAGAGAAATCACATTCTGTTGCCATATTGATTACATCTTGGCTAAGGTCAAGAAAATAAACTACATGCTGCTAAAATGTGCTAGGTACACCTGGGGACTAAATAATAAAGCTTATAAAACCTTATATAATGGAG